TTCTAGCGTTTCATCTTAGTCGATGTCGAGCCCCTTCCATACGTCCTCTACAACCTTGACCAGCTGGGTAGTTAGGCAAAAACCAATCCTCCATCATCCTCCACGCTTCTGCCACATTGTTCTCAAATGGGGCCCCCACCGCTGCCTCCAAGATAAAACTCCATGTCCTCTTGTGCTCAACAACCAGCTGTGCACCATACTGGCGAGTCAAGTACCCTTCATCCTGACAACTGACAACGGGAACCTCAGCACTGCCGGAGATTGTGTGCTGGAGATTATTGTTTTCCACGTAGGCCAGAAAGCGTCTCCGCCAACTGAGAAAGGTGTCGGCGGTGCGGTTTGACGGGATTCTAGGCACCGGAGTTCTGACAATTTCACCTCCCAAAGGCAAACCCGGCACCCCAGCACCGCCATCATGATTCACCCCGCCTGGCCACATTGGCCTCACCGGTGCAGATGAAGCCCCTGCAGGAGAAACTAGACCGTCGCCTCCTGGGCTGCTGCCGGCAGGTGCACCCGCCGCCCGCCGCTGTGCAGCCCTAAGCTCCTCCGTCTCAGCCTTGGCCTCCTTCGTCTCAGCCTTGGCAACATCTATAGCTCGTAGCGCCTCATCCAACCTAGCACGCAGAGCTGCGTTCTGTTATAAGGTCCTGTCTCAGCCAGGTAAGTGATTAACCTTGTACCGGGTGGCTGAGTAGTCTACCTCCTCAACATGCGGCGTCGTCTAGGACACGTCGAAAGTTCGAATCCCGACTTGTGCACTTTCTTTATTTTCTGATTCGAAAAGAAAAACGAGAAAAGAACTTGTGCGTGAAAGGAGAAAACACACTCGCATGTAAAAATCCTAGCGGAAAAAGATCCTCCCTACCGTCTGAAGAAAGTCGGCGGCCCTACGTTGGTGGTCCTGGGGATTACTTCCCGTTAGGTTTCAGTGCTAGAGAGTGATATAACGTCCTGTCTCAGCCAGGTAAATGGTTAACCTTTTACCGGGTGGCTGAGTGGTCTACCTCCTTGACAGTCCTCCTCCGTTCCAGACATATCAAACTAAAACTCTAAACCCTCCCTGCTGTCCCAGCCTCGAAGCGCTGTCCCAGCTATAAACCCTGCTGTCCCGGTCCCCGCAATGGCCACCGCATCAGCTATGCACTGCTGCTGTCCTCGTCCCCTTTGGCCGCGATCCCAGCTATGAAAATGGTGTCCGCTGCCTCGATGGCCCAGCTCCCACCGTTCAGACGCCAATACCCACTACCAACACCAGGCCTTACAATATATTGTGTTTGGGTGCGGTAGCTCGTCAGAGGCCGAAAGCGAAAGAAGGTTGACTCAAGACCTTGTTGCTTAGAGAGTGAGAGACATGCGGCAGGCAACACCATCGCCATGTAGCATGCCCATCAATACATACCATCCGCGTATCACCCGGAGGCCCCGTAGACAGTATACTCTGCCGAGCACCCCAAACAGCAGGCAAGAAGGAATGGGCTAGCGAGAAGCACGGAGACTGCTGTGTATCGCCTGAACACCGCAAGTTTCGTGGCACCCACTTCCTAGAGAATCCAAAGGCTTGTTTTGAAAGGGTGTTCGGAAAAACTCGACAAAAGGAAAAGGAGGGTGGAGATAATCCATCCTCATCCCCGGTCTAGCCAAGAGCCGACGCTTTGCACTGTCACCCGCAACGTACAATCACCACCATCAGGGGACATTCCAGAAATATATCACGAAGTATCTGCATAGGTTGTGATACCGATTGGTCCATCTACCTAGCCGAGTGTACAGTCGAGCTATCCTTGAGCTTAAGCGTGATCACATCATGCTTGCGGCGCGCATATATATATGGATGCCAACAGCTTTACCAGCATAGTCTACTGCTGTATATTTCGTAGCAAGCTGCACCTTCGCCAATTTCTGCCTCGCGCCACATGTTCGATGATTCTCTACCGTTGTCAGCCGCTCGCCTGCACTACATGGGTTTCCTGTGCAGTTCCCATGGGGTCGGTGGGGTTTCCACTTTACCCTTTGGATTACAAGTGGGGGACGGCGTACTCTCATGTTTTGCATGCCTTAGCGGTTAGACCATTGACCACGTCCTCGAGAGGACGGAACGTTGTTCCCACAGCAACGATCACCAATGACCAATCGTTCCTTTCTCCTGTGCCAAAGGTGGCTGAATATTACTGTTTCCTAACCTATCTATCTTATCAACATTACTTCAAGCCTTTTCAACCCACTTGCTATACCCCAGTACAACTATTGCCTTCTCCAAGCTATTCCATACCTCAAACATCTCCCTATATCTTCCTTCTATTTTTCCCCGCTCAGTCATGTACACTTCCCTCTCCTTCTTGTACAACGGACATTCCGCAACTATACGAATCCGGTCTTCGCACTCGGAGTCGCAATCATTCACATTTGAACTTGTCGTCTTCATGGTCCACCTTCCGAAATCTTCGTATACGTTCTCGAAGGCAAATGTCCTCGGTCCCAAGAGTAACGTTCGTCTTTGTCCCTGCATCCATTGGTCCATGTAGTAGGTACTCCTTGAACCCTAATCCTTCTTTCAACATTCCGTACACAGCTAGACCCTCTTTATCCTTCGTTTCTTCAGATAGATTTCTGTTCTTCTGTCTCGGCAAAAGCAACAGAGATCTCCTTGAACCTGTCTAGAACGTCCGCTTCCAGCGTTTCACCTTCCCCAAATTCGAACTCCTTCCGTACGTCACCTACAACCTTAACACACTCCGGGGGAAGCAAATACGTTGGAAAGTTATAGTAAGACCTTGGGGGCGTTATCAAAGCGGAAGGGGCGATCAGCAAAGCCAGACACAAAATAAAAACTTCGGGCGAAATATCTCCGGGAGGCACCGGTCTCTCTATTGCTGCTTGTGGTCTTTCGCCGATACACAAACAAATGCACGCTGTTGTGGCGGGCCTCTCGACAACAAAAACAACAACAACGATGATGATTGCGCCGAATTGAGCGTTTCTGGCACAGCAAGTACGACACAGACGTTCTGTTGACCGTCCCCCTCCCTCCTCCCCGTACATGAAGACTACACAGCCTGGTACTTAGCAAACCATCGATATATCATAGCAAATCAACAGACGACTTTAAAGGAATGCCCGCCCGACGGTGGCTTGCCTCCTAGATGTAGTAGATGTAGATTCTGCCGTAGACACTCTTGTCCACGAGCACATTGAGATGGGAAGGTTGCTTGTTATTGCAGAAGCGGGTCTGCTACAGGTCTGAGGTGAGGCGGATTGCCCTCAACCTGGGGGCACGCAGATAGCTAAGTCCCGATGGGGTACGTCCTAAGAGGGTATACCTCCTGACGTCCCCCATCTTAATCTAGACCGACTGTGTACCCTATCTGTGCCATATAGCAACACTCCTTAACACGACCGTTTTCAACCCATCACAACGATATCACACACCCTCTGTAAAGACAAACGACAGGCGATACTATGAACCACCATAGCCTGGGCCCGCGAAAACCCAGCGTGTCGCTCCGTCCCGGTGTTGTAGGGATGCGAGTCTACCACCTACGGCATGCGCTTACGTAAGTACCCCCTCCACCCCCCCCGAACAACAGCGCCCCCAGAACGCCATCAGCTTCAGGGAGTTTCTCGCCAGGCAGGCCCACAGTCAGGTCGCCGCCAAGCAGCACCTCAGTCGCCTGGTGGCCCAGCAGTCGCCCAGCTTCACCCCCCAGCTGTCACGGGGCACCCGTCGCATGCTCGCGAGGAACGGGGCCACCGCCACGGCCGGTGGGGGTAGGTTCGAGGAGCGGCTCGGCGTGGCGGCGCGACGACGATGGAGGGATAGGAAGGTGTGAAGACGGAGAGGGGTCATGTCGTTGGGGAACGGGGAGGGGCTTATTCATGTCTTTCATGCCTCAGTTGTTTGACCATTGACCGAACGGAGGGGTAGTTTAAGGCCAGGCGTAGCGTGCGACGCAGCCCCCCGGGTTGCCACCCATCACCGGCCAGGCAGGTACAAGACGAGCATTAGGTGGGGAGGTGCTAAGCATTGGAAAAATGTCATAGTGTGCGTGCTCCCCACGGCGGACACATCCACGGAGTTGTTCACGGCGCTAACGTCGCTTCAGGTAGTTTCGATACACAGCTTCACCGCAACGGCAGAGCAACGGCTGGCCGTCGAGAAACAGGAGGATGGTAGGCAACCGTGTGGATCGATACCACCGTTTTTTGGAAGAAGCAATGGGCGGACAATGAAGTGGCTTTTTCCCACTGCAACGAATCCATGCGTGCGAACGAACCTCATCACCGCATTCTCATCACGTTTGATTTTAGAAGGTTGTGAGGAGTTCTCGAACTTCTCGTGGCGTTCGAAGCACAAGCCCAACGTGGGGGTTTACTTGTTTCTTGGCCGGTCGGGTACCGGCTAAGCATAGAAAACACGCCTCACCAGATCCTAGGAGAGACGGCCCCGTAGGACGAAGTTGAGACCAGTGCGGAGTGCTTCACAATCTTTGCTACGGTAGTGTTGTGTGTCAAGCTGACTCGAAGGTACAGGACGACCGGCAGATCAAGGCTCACCTTCGAGGACACACTAATATTAGCACCAAAAGCAATGCCCCAACCCCTCCCTCGAGCCTCAATATTCAGAATTCTGGCAAGAGGCGTATGTTGACGGTGGTCTGCACATGTCTTTGGTTTTTGACACGTATTGACGTGGCAGGCGGCGACGTTCGCAGCTAGGAAGCTCGAGAGGCAGGACTGCACCTTCGTGCCGCAGTTAACATCAAGGGCGAGAAATGCGCGCTCTCGATCGGCGAGGGAGCTCAGCATTGGAGACTCCGTGCTGCGGGAGGCGAAGCTTGTGAGTCGTCATCATTTTTTGAGTCGAGATATCTCGTTTCTGCGCCGCCACTAGTTGTGTTGGTTGTCGACCGCCTGAAGCATGGTTGGGTATTGAATATCTCGTCCACATTTTAGGAAGCCCACTCGTCCCCCATGGCCTCTGGCTGATAGTGACGAGAAGATTGGCCTGCTCTCCTTCCGACAACTCGTTCCTGTTCGACTTGGTGCCATGATCATTGGGGTTGGAGGCCATTCTTCAGTAGACACTGTAAGGGTCGGGGAGGTGTGACGAAAAAGCTTGTAGCTGGAATTCTTGATGGGATAGATACATCATCACGCTTGCTCACTTAGGGGGGCACTGGTGAGCGCGGGATCTGCACAGAAGAATGAGGCCATCGGGTGGCACTACAGGACGAAGGCCCATCGAGCCAACACCGTTGAAGGCGTGGCGATCATAATGACAATGCTAATGAGGCGAACGTGTGGAAAGTGATTATGGACAGTGACAACGAAACACACGTTAAACTGTCCCTACTTGAGATGGCAACGTTTTGGTGGAGACGGCGGTGTCGTTACACCGGCATTAGCGCGCATAAGTCGTTTTTCACGGCGTCGATGACGATTTCGTTTGTTTGGTATTCGACCAGCATCGACATGATCGCCGTCAATAGGAAGACATTGGCACGCAGAATGACGGCCAGGGTGCAACCGATCACCCCTATCTCCTCTCCGAAATTGTGTTCAAGATCGACTTTCGTATCGACATGTAGCGTCAAGACGACAACGACGACAACAGCAACACATTTTGCACAAGAACAAAAGCAACAAGAACAATTGAGTAACTACCCAAGATCGTAACAAGATCAAGCTAACTGACGAGCCACTTTTGTTTGACCTGAGGAGCTCTGCGATTCTTCGGCCCCGGTCCAACGCAGCGCATGGCGAGGGCTCGAGAGGACATCCGTCTCCTGGACAACAATAACAACAACAACAACAACAACAACAACAACAACAGCTTCGAAGATGGTGACCAGGGTTGCCACAGCTTCGAGCCGACGTTTGAGACGGCCGGGGACGATGGCCTTGCTCCCTCGACTACGTCCAGGCTGAGGCTAGCAGACGAGCTGGACACCTACCTCGACAGGGTTCAGGTGAGACTCTCTTGAATCGCTCCGCCCGCTGTGATGAACCAAACCTGCTTCGATAACCGATAAGTGACGCTACAACAACAAACTAGGGCTTTTGGCGTTGCGCAACTGACGCTGCAAACAGGGTGTTCCCCCAGTGGGAACGATTTTCTCCGTTCTCTCTGCTTTGTGGCAATGATATGTCATAGCTTCCGAGCAAAGAGACGGGCCTAAACATCGTTTCAGGGGGGGTACTGCTGTGAGGGTCTATCGACTAGGACCAAAGTCAAAACGACCAATACTTTGGACAGTGGGTCCTTCTTTGCAGCGTCATACGGCAAGCGGAGTT